TGACTGGAAGTCAAAAGAAAAGCTCAAAATGATATTAAGATACAAAATGATGAGTAGAATAAGCTTTTGTATTCATATCAACATCACCTTTACCTAAATACCAAGTTGCAATTCTATAGAATTTATCAAGATATTATAAGAAATTTTAAAATGACTAATGCTAGGTGGACACTTAATGACAGTTGCATCCAATTAGGCTTTTCATTTATCAAAAATAAAAGCTACCACATCTGCCGTGTGTATTTTGAGAAAAGTGCTTGCAAATATCAAGCTGAACCCTTCATTTTTATTTTGACAGAAATAGAACCTAAAATGATGGATAATAACAAGCTGATTTTCACACACATAGCAATTGTAAGAATTCTAAATTCCAAAACACAAAAGCAGTTTGGATCTGCTCCTGACTTCTCTTCACAATATATGCAAATCTATGTCTCAACACATAGTGAGTCGTAAAAGCAAGCTTGACGCAATGTCCTCTTACATTTTTAAATTCATGCTTCTCCTCACAATGGTTTTAAAGGCAGATGCTATGTATGTAATGCACGGCACAAGGGATAAGGGTCAAAGTTTGCTTTTACATACATATATTAAGAAAATATTTTTAAATGGCTTTTATATTTAGTAGTAATAAAAAGTAGTAATTTTATATTAAAATGTGCTTATCATATATGAAATAGGAAGGGGCTTTAACCACATTATATGCTAGTTCACAATAGAAAGAGGGTGTCAGTGCCATCATACCATGTGAACCTGAGAACCCCAGCCTCCAAACCCCGAGGATTTTACCCTGACCTTCCAAGAGCATCCTCTTGAGGGCCCATTCCCCACTATGCCCTCTCCTTTCTTGCTTCAATATTTTTAGCCAAAGCATTTCTTACCCTCTGATACACCACACCATTTTGTAGTTAGTGTGTGTGTCGCCTCATCTCCACATATATAAGCAAGGAAGTCCTAATGGGGTAAAGTCCTTCATCTGCTTCACTCACTGCTCTCCCCATCCCAGCTACACCAATACTACCAGCAGCCCACATGGGACCCTCCAGCAAACCTGTGACGCTGGAAGAGGACCTCTGGTCCAGTTCTCTCATCACAGTCTGTAGATGAAACGTCTGAACTCCCTTAGCTGTCAGAGACAGGGGCCTGAGATTCCCACAGGACCTTACATTGTTTCCATTTCTGAGTAGAAACCCCGCAACTTCATGGGGATGGTTCATGCTGCTGACAGTACACAAAAATGGGACCCTTGAAAAACTGGATTCTTATATCATTGTATTTGCATCTTGCTGACTTTTATTGCTCTTCTACTTGGTTTCCTGTCAAGTGTTTAAATACCCATCTTCAACTGTTAAACTATAAACTATTTCAGCATTTGACTACTAAATGGTAGAATTTTTTTTTTCTACAGGGACTGAATGGAAACAGAGTTGTTCAAAGGGTACACAGCTTTGATTTGCACAGTAAAAAAATTTTGGAAATGGACAGCTGTGAGGGTCACAAAACAACATGAAAACACTAACACCACAGAACTCAACACATAGGATGCTAAATATTGTTACATTATTTTATCACAATGTTTTTTAACAACTGTTTAAATAATAGGCAAGTTTCCAAAATTTTTCTCAAATGCCTAGATATTTTGCTAGTATCAGTGTTCAGATTTATTCTAAGTTCTGTACATATATTATTGATACATGCACATATAAAATCTCAGATCTGTTTAATATATATTGTTAATAAATTATATATGAGCTCATAAAAGTTAAGTACCCCGGTGGTATTATTGAGTTACGGTACATTGGACTCTACAGTTACTTCCTGTACATAAAGACACAGTATGAGGAAAAGGCTGTAAAAGTTTAAGCTTTAAAACACTGACTGGAAGAAGAAAAATATTATTATTGTCAAAGGAACTCGGTGTCTGATTCCTGAATACCAGTGTCTGGGATTCACATAGAATACACTATGCACATTTCTATCAAAAGAGCCTTCAGAGACAAGGTCTTAGTTACTGGTCAAATCAAAGCATCATCTGAAAATTATCTGATACATAAATTTGGTTTATTCACCAATTCTATTATATATATATACCCAGTAAGAGATAAAATTCATAAATCACGTGGCAGTATTTATTACTTGGAGATCATATTTTAGGATCTATTTCTGTTGTTTCTGCAATGTTTAATCATGACAAATGATGACTTACTAACCATGTAGGATAATATTAAAATCCCAGAATCTCATTAAAGTTTTACAAATGAATAAATTAAAAATTGTAAATAATTCATAGATCTACTCTCCACTCAGCTATCAACATAACCAAATTAAATTATTCTCCAAAAATTCTGTGCTTTTGGTCTTGGCTAGAGTTTGGCTTGAGGACCAGCAGCTCGCTGGTCACCTGGGAATGTGTTACACATGGAAGCGCTCAGCCTGGCTCATTCCTGGGTGGTTTGTGTGTATCGCAAGTTGAGGCGAAAGCAAAGACAGCCAATAAACCTTCTCCAAATTATCCCCAAAGGGGATCAGATCCAGCCAGTTCATTTTCGCATGTCTTGATCCCCACTTCTCAGCTGTAAAACACACTTTCTCTTCCTGACAGCTGCACTGGACACAGGATCTGCCGTGAGATGACTGAGATCTTCAGATCAGGAAAGAGAATAGGGAAAAATAGTCAGGAAAGACTTCCCCAGAAAGGAAATCCTTCGGCAGCCTCCAGAAGCCTCCTGTCTGTGGGCAACAGCACATCCATGCTTGCTGGTTGGAGTTGGAATTCTCACAGTGGATTTCTTTCCCCATCTTTAGGAAACTGCACCAAAATCCTGCCCCCGTTAGTGGCCAGACCACCAGCCAGTGAGCTGCCTTGCTTGGGGTGCACCAGGTGTCCCCAGGTCCCCAGCAAGGGCCCCGGGGGCCACTGTAGAACCAGTCCCAGGCTCACCAGGGCCAGCAACTCTGAAGAGGAGCCAGAAGTGTGGCCAGGTTCACTGCCACTTCGCCAGGTGAAGCGTGTGAGCTTGGGCTTCCAGGTGGGGCTAAGGACGGAGGCTGCAGTTGGAGTCGATGTGAGGTCAGTGTGTGGGCCCTGCCTGCACTGTGTGCTTCGGACTAGGCTGACAGCGGCATGCGTCACCTGCGCTGGCAGCTCCGTGTGCCTCCTCCTGTGTCATCCCCTTCTTGGGTACAGGAAGCCTCGGGCAAGGAAGGGGGCAGACAGCTCGGGACAGCGCCCACCAAAAGCAAGACTTTCGGACAGCGCTTCTGCTCACACTCAGCTGTCTGCACACAAGTGGCTCCGGGGGACCCAGAGACCAGGTGTCTCTCCCAAGGGGGTTGCTCACCCCGGGAGCATAATGTGGGTCAGGTGAGCAGGAGCTGCAGCTGAGCAGGGTGAAAGGGAGATGTGGACCCAGCTCTACTTCCATTTCTGGATCGTGCAGAAGGAAGGTTCAGATCCAGTTGCAGAGCTAACATTTTTTAAAAACATTACCAAAAAGTTTTAGGCCATCTAAGCTATAAATTACATGTATTTTTAAAATTGTCTTTAAGCTTTCAAGAAAAAATACTGATAGGAAAGAACAGTCCAAAATTGTCTTTAAGCTTTCAAGAAAAAATACTTATAGGAAAGAACAGTCCAAAACTCTCTAGTCTTTTGTAGACATATAATAGTTACAAATCTATAGTTAAAAATGTAAAACAGCTCTTAAAAATAAAGCATTGTGTTCATAGCAAAGTGCTTTTATTTACTATTCTAGATTTTTATGCAGAATTTTGGACCACATCCACACAGGAAATCAGCATCGTAGCATTACTCTAAACTGGGACACATATTACCTGAATAATCAGGTTTTTAAGATCTACTTAAGTTTTAATTAAGCAGTTATTTATACTCCCTTCAGAGTGTGCTTAATAGGCAACACTTTCTTTATCATCATTAAATTTGTCTTTTAACTAAATTGACACGCTTACTAAATGAAATAATTGGAACATAAAAAATTAGTATTGTCAGCCAAGCATGGTGGCTCTTGCCTGTAATCCCAGCATTCTCAGAGGCTGAGGCAGGAGGATCACAAATTCAGGCTCCACCCGGGCAACTCAGTGATTAGCGAGGCCCTGTCTCAAAATATAAACAGCTGGAGCTCAGTGCAAAGATCCTGAGTTCAGTCCCCCAGTGCTACAGAAAGGGACAAGTAAGGGAGGGAGGGAAGAAAGGAGGGGAAGCATTTTGTTTTGTCAACTTGGCACTGGATCAAAAGATTCTGAAATCAATTAAAAAAATGATGGAATAAGAAAATATGAAATGACAGCTTTAAGACACGAAATACAGGTTAATGCAATGATTAACAAATTCCAAGAACAAATCGCATGAGGCAGATGAAGCAGGTTGCAAGGTCTTTTCCAGACATAAAATACATAGATTATCAATAACGCACGCATCTTCTGTCCTGTTCCAGAGAGCCAAGTTTCTAACTGTGTTATCCTCATCGCTGTTTTTCTCTGATGTGTTATTCTAAGCTACAAAAGAAATATACTTCATCAGCGTGTTGGACACGGTACTCTTTTTCAATCAGATGTCTTTCACATATCTTGCATATCAACCACATCCTATTTCAACAGGAAACTGTACTTCCCTTCGTCTTTCAAGACAATTTTATGAGCTAGGTGTGGGGAAATACACCTAGTATTCCAGCATTCTGGGAGGCTGAGGCAGGAGGTTTACAAGTTCAAGGTAGCCTAGGCAACGTAGTGACTTAGTGAGACCCTATCTCAAAAAAATGAGAGAGGCGCTGGGGATGTAGTTTTGTGAGAAGGCCCTGGGTTCACTCCATACTACGGCCAGAAAAAGTATAAACGGACATCATCCATAATAATAACAGACACTATTAAAATTTGTCAGTGGCTCGGAGCACGCTGTCTTCAGCTGAACTGTCTCCACGTCATTGCGCCAATCGATACTTCTTCTAGTTTGGACCAATTAGAAATTAGAAGAGGTACAGATTGTGACGTGGCAGACAGCCAGGCCCGTTGATTCATTTTCAGAGCAAATTAGCCGGAGACTTTTTAATGTAATTAGCTAGCAATTTATTACTGTTAGTAAACTATCAAGGTAATCTAAGAGGGCTTTTACCTAGATTTCCCTTCATTTTCCCTTGGCCCTTGTTCATTTATTGTCTTGTATGTCGGCTTTATGTTTCTGTCCTCAGACGAGCAGTACAGCAAATGTAAATTCCTGAAAGAAGAGTGTGATGCAACGCTACTCTCTACGTCCACGGCCCATCTGCTCATCCACTCCGCGTAGCAGAAAGGACAGCAGAGTTGAAAGACGGTGGGACTGAGGGTTAGAACTCTACTTGCGGCTGAGGTAAAACAAAGTTAAAACGCTTGCTGGGAACAAGCGCCAAAGGCCCAAGCCACTAATTGCACTGTAAAGATTTCACATACCCCCTTATGGTACAGATTGGGAGACCATCTTTGGGTTTGGGGGATTTGGGTTTTCAGGTTTTGCTTTTAGGTTTTTGTTTTGGTCAAAGAATCATCTGCTGTGCCATTTATCAGATGAGCTGAAGATCATGGACGCTAAGATTCAGATCACATGTGCTCTATTAGTACGGCAGAACAGATTTCTCAGGAATTAATTTTGTAAATGCAGAGACTGTGACTGCTAGGAGGGGCTGGGGTGCAGCCTGTGGATGGGGAGAGCGCTGCAGAGCACTGTGGAGCTTTGGGCTTTGAATGAGGCAGCTAAACTGCTAAGTGGGGCATGTGCATTTATAGCACTGGCTGCACATCTGACTAACACAGCAGCTACCTGCAAGGTAAATTTTCTTCTTTTTTTGCAAGGTAAATTTTTATTTTTATTTTATTTTCTTTTTTGCAAGGTAAATTTTTAAGAAACAGCTGAAGACTATGAAGGAGGGCCCCCACCTAAATTCGGCCCTTGGACTTCAGAGCTACTGCAAATAATGGGGTCATTAAAAGGCTAAAAAAAAAACAAACTAGACACCATTCTCCTGGGTTTTCTCACTTAGCATTTACTTTTCTTTCTACAATGCCTGCAACATTTTCTTAATTATTTTTGATGCAGTCACTCAGGGTAGGCCACCTCCCAAAAAAAGAACCAGAAAATCCTTTTCTCCAGGAAAAGCTCAGGAAAATACACTTTAAAAAATCTCAAATGATGGCAGGGAAATCACCCATGAGTATGTCATTAGGATCAAAAATCTAGAGTACAATTTCATAAGGTAAACATAAAAGATACATTAGTATTTTACTCTAATTGGAAAAAGACTTTTTCTTCAAAAGGATCGTGCTCCAAAGGTGCAATTTTATGATGGAAACTTTAACCCAATGCTTTTACCACTTTCCACCTTAAGGATATTACTAGAAATGCTGGCTATGTCCTTGCACCTGCATTACTACATTTTTATCACCGTCATTGGAAAGGAAATCCTTCTTATAGATAACATGCAGGACTCTCAGTAAGATTACAAACTGGAGCTTAGAGGGTACAGATAAAATATCCTTTATATATAGTGATCTTAATTCAAGACAGAATATAAAGCATATGGCCAACTAAATGCATCTCTCTTATCCCTGCTACTCCCTGCTCCATAAAATAATAGCTTTTCTCAGCTCGCAAATTACATAAGCACTTGTCTCCACTCTGCAAAACACTTTCCCTTCCTACCTCTTCTGTAACATTGCCCAACTAAAACAAGTCTTTTCCAGCAAATCTGAGCACTGATAGTTGCAGTTTTAAGAAAGAATAGATCAATTTTCTGTTTCCCACTACATCTGGTTTCTAGTTCCTTTTGTTTGCATGGTAGCGTTGTGGAAAACGCAGTTTATAAGCTCAACGACCACAGCCTAAGTTCTCCCCAACCTTGTCCCAGGAACTAAATGCTGCGGGGGGAGACAGCAGAGGAGAAAAATGAACATCTCCACCCAATAATACATGCAAGTTCCAGAAAGACTGAAAATACAAACAGTAATGGAAAAAGCAAAATTAGGAGATGCAATTAAAGAAAATAATGTTTACCCTCTTAGTGTGGGAAATAATATTAAGCTATATGGTGAGAAAATAAGATCTGTAACATTTGTAAAGTGCTTCTACAAATCATTACCAAAAAAAACCAAACGAGGCATTATCAAAAAGAGCAAGCTGTCTCTCTCTTGAGCGCCCACACTATATTTTCTGTCTGAGTGTGTAGTTCTTCAACTCTGCCTAAATAAATCTGCCTATGCCTCTCAGAAATAAATAAATAAATAAACAAATAAGAGCAAAAGTTCTGAAAAGGTAATTCTCATGGGGGAAATGCAAAGTTTCAACAAACATAAAATGTTCCACCTTGTAAGTACTCGGGAAAACACAAATTAAAATAACCAATGTTTATCTGTTTCCCACCAGACTGATGCTAGCAGGGCATTGTTTAATGGTTGTAGAGAAAGAGGCATTCTTCCACAGCCCAGCTAGAAGAATCTATGCACTAGCAATCCAATGCCTTTTTCTTTTCTTTCCCATCAAAAAAAAACAAAAAAAAAAACCAGACTTCATAAATACATGGAACCTCCTGGGGGAAAATAAGAGCATAATTCCAAATTCCATATCTCTTTGCCCTAGTAAATAAATTATAGGGGTCACTTGATACCTCTACTTTCCCAGGGTGCCCTGGAATTTGGCCCTCTCCAATCTGGACAGCTCTGATTTTGAAAAGACTTTAGAAGAAACAACAATAAAGTTAAAAGATGCATATTGCTTTGTTGAGTCTCAGGCAAAAGGAAGTGGGACAACTACCAAAAACAGCTCCAATTCCCCCTGGAGTGATGCGCCAGAGAAAATATGATCTATCCACCTGCTTTGCTAATTTGGGCTCAAGAACTTCGACATCAAGACAGTCTATTTTTTTCTGCTATTAAAAAAAAAATCCTTTCTGTAAGTAGCCGCCAACCTGTCCTCCCATTACCTACAGAACCATGCATTTAATGAAGAAAGAAAGTGTTTGTTTAGGGTACAATGAGTTTAGAATACAAATCACTGTAGACAAAATTGTGCCAATGAAAAGCCCTAAAGCTCTGATCTAGCAAATAGCTCCTACCAGGAAGTCTTATTTTTAGTTAGGAAATAATTTTCTACAAGCCATGCAAGTTCTACTTGCTCTGTAGTTAAGATATAAAGAACTTTTTGTCTTGGCAACCTGCAAGTGGAAAATACAGTAACCTTCCTCTCTGAGCCCCAGACCCCAGTGTGGGGGCAGCGATGGTACAATGGCTTTTCGTGGTGCGAAACTAACCCCTGCTCTGTGGACTCTGAGGACTCATTGCTCTGTGGCCTGAATTTCAAGTGTAAAACATTGGTATGATGAGTTTGATCAGCACAGGGGCTGGGATTTAGCTCAGTGGTTCCGCTGCCTGCCCTGCAAGCACAAGGACCAGAGTTCAATCCCCAGTACCAAAAAAAGAGAAAGACTTAAGTGAGTTTGATCAGCATAACCTACTTTGGAAGACTAAACTGAAATGAAATACATATAAAGGACGTGTAGAGTGCGTATTTAAGCCAATCACTCACAGAGACCCAAGCTGACTCTACTCCTTTCCTCTCTTTTCTAGCTTTCCTCTGGCATCCTGAAAAGTACTTCATTTAAATTGTACCTAAGCTGTAATTATGACCAAGCTAATGTGACTGACAGGGCGAGCCAAGCCCTGGCCATGCCATGAAGTGACATGCTGCCTGCGTCTGTTTGTGCTGCTATAGCAGGACACTTGAGACTGAGTCATTGATATCAGACAGAAATGTATGGCTCATGTTTCTGGAGTGTGGAAGTCCAAATTAGGACCAGCAGCTGGCATGGGCCTTTATGTGCATTATCCCATGCAAGAAGCTCAAAGAAAGGGCAGAAGACAGAGAAAAAGGACCAACATACTCGATAACCACCACACTCCCCTGATAAAGGCACTGATCCATTCATGAAAGCAGAGGCTTCATGGCTTAACCGCCTCACATTAGGCTCTGCTTCCCAAAAGTACTGGAGACTAAGTTTCCAACACATGCTTTACGGAGGACACATCCAAACCGTAGCACATGGTATTGTCTCCTCCAGATATACCCACTTTGCATATTTAGTCTTTTTCTCACATTCTGTTGGAAAACCATTGGTTCAATAAATCCTATATTTTTCAGAGCACAAATTTTTCTAACACTGGACTGCTAATCAGTTCTGTACTCTGGCCAGGCACCGGGCTGCACTATTTCCCAGCCTCCTTTGCTGTATGCTGGTCTTGTGACTAAGTGCTTATTTGTGAGAGGGAGTGCGAATGATATTTGCCACTTCTATGCCGTGGCTTTGCTCTCCGCTCTTCTGTCTGAATTTCTCACTCTTTCCAAGAGGAATGTAACAGTGACCCAGCTTCCACCATGAAGTGGAGGACAGGCTCTGCATGACATCACAAAGCTATAGACTATAATGTAAGAGGAAACCTACCTGCTTTATGTGATTGTCATCTTTGTCTTACCTTTCTTTACCCTAACACATAGTTGTTAGGAGGAATGCTACCTTTTCCAGCAGTAATTCCATTTGAATATGGTCTTCTGTTATTTTTAAAAAGAATTTTAAGTCCAAATAGGTTATCTCATTTTATAAACCAAAGTCACTGGAGACAAATAAATGTCTAGAGCTGACGTGTTTATTTATAACAACACACAGTTAAATTATTTAACTGACACTATTAGTAGGGGGAAAGAACCAATTTCCAATTAAAATAAGTTGGGAGTGTCAGTGTGGCAAAAGGTGTGATAAAATATAAAGGAAGCAGAAAGACCATGGTTCAAATCCAAGATCTCACAATTAATAGCAGTGTGATTTGCAGCATGTTGCTGAATTTCTCTCAACTTTAGAGGAGTGCAATGTATGTAATAAGTATTATAACCATGGCACATATGACGATATGAGAGTAGGTGGTCAGCAAGACGATAACTACTCTATAATTAACTACTAATCTTATAGCTAATGAACACATCTATACGCAATGGCTGTAAAGAGCAGTCCTCTCACTGAAACACTCCCAAAATGCTTTGGTGACTGGGTTTGCTTTCTGGTCCCACTCAGGTCCCTCTTTTTTGTGTTTTCTAGACTCAGCAAATGCTCTTGATTATTTCTCTTTTTTCTCAACCTTATCATTTCTGCTCTGGGGTGTTTTTCCCCTGTAAAAGCCCTTTATTTCTATATTCAGTAAGTGCTAATTCTTTACGTACAATTGGTCTAAGTTTCCCCTAAATTCTAAGCTTTAAACAAGAGTACTGTGACAGAGGTTTGCATGTTCTGTGAGTCCTATAAAATGCAAACTGATGACTGTTTTCCTGGGATT